GACCATCGCAGAACCCGTTCAATTTCGTGCCAAATCACAGAAAATGACAAAATGCGACATGGAAAGCGGCCCTTGCCTTTTCAGCCTGGAGCGGTAGCGAAGGCGGCAGTCATGAATGGAGACAGGCTGAGACAGGGCTAGAAGACAAGGCCGCAGCGGCAGCAAAGGCGGCGATCATGCAGCAGCAGGGAAGGCGGCGAACATGAAGGAAACAAAATTGGGAAACAAGGAGGCTGCACGGCTGCAGCGGCAAAATTTTGGCCGATCAGGATGCCCGATGTAGAGAAATAAAAACCCCTATACCTGACGTTATCTGAGGAGAAAACATGAGAAAATGCAAACACATTTTTTGGAGAAACGATTGTTTTATCCGTCCTAATAACTGTAAACAGGCAATTTTTTTTAAAGATATTTTGGGCAAACTTTGTTTTGAGTGGTTCCCTCGTGCGAAAAAAAAAGTTTTTTGGTGCTCTCCATCGTGCGCAAAATCGTGTTCTTCCTCTAGATCGTATTTTTTGGTGCTCTCAGTCAGGCAAAAAAATCGCGCTCTTGCTCTAGATCGTGTTTTTTGTTGCTCGCTCGCGCAAAAAGTCGTGCTTTAGATCGTATCTCTTTTATGTGCTTTGCCTGTGCCAAAACAAATGTGCTCTACATCGTGTTTCTTGGATCTTTTTGGCGTTTTTCCCTCGTGCCAAAAATTGTGTTTTAAATCGTGCTCTTTGGTGCTCTCCCTCTTCCAAAAAAATCGTGCCCTAGATCGTGCTTTTTGTTGCTCTCCTTCGTGCAAGAAATCGTGCTAGGATGGGGCCCCCAAGATAATTAAGTTGCCTTATAAGTGGTTTAGTTGTTGTTTTTTTGTAGATATATATAACACTTAGTGGGGTTTATAAACAAACTTATTATTGGGGGGCACCATCCTGTACTTTTTGGTGTTTTCGCTCGTGCAAAAAAGTGGCCCTCGCTCGTGCAAAAAAATGTGCCGTGTTTTTTTTGTGCCATCCCTCGTGCAAAAAATCGTGCTCTAGATCGCACTTTTTGCGTGTTTTTTGCGTGCAAAATTTATGCTCTAGATCGTTCTTTTTGGTGCTCTGAATTGTGCTCGCTGTTACAACTATTAGGTTTGTGTCAAACGATACCCCAAAATCCACTGCTTTGTCATTTATCGATTTATCATCATTATTTTCATTTTAAATTTGCTATCTTGGAAAAATCCACCATTGCCAGACGGACCTCTTTTGGACCGAAACAATGTTTCAGGTCAGGCCAAATTCCCATTGTTGCCTTTTCGATGCCATATAAATAGTGACAAACATAACCCGTTGCCGCATTGCCCATACAGACAGCAATTCACTCATTTGACTATTCATGCAGGCTTTTGATTGCCCAAGCAAAACAAGGGCGCGTGCCGCGCTTTGCTACCAAACATGGTAGCGGAGCCCCATTGAAGGGGCCTGGGGCGCTGATGCAGCGGCGTTGCAAGCGCTGCTGGAGAACACGAGAGCTTCAGCTGATGCAGTGGCTGAAGTTGCAACGGCGCTGAAGTCACGCTTTACTGAGGAGCGCAAGGACAAGTTCTCAGAGGCGTCGAAGGTGGCGAGACACCCAGATGTTTTCCAGCCACAGTCACTGGAAGAAGAGCACAGCCAGTGGCAGGATCGGCGGTTGACATTTCGAAGCTGGTTGGTTTACGCCCAGGAAGACTTCGAGAAGGACTTGAATGAGGCTGAAGCAGCCACCTCACCTATGGACTTTGTGGAGATGACAACTGCGCAGCATGGTCGGTCGGAGAAGCTTCACTCGATCTTGGTGGGCTTGCTGAGGAACAGGCCACTGAAGATCTTGAGAAGCGTTGAGGGACGCAATGGACTGGAGGTTTGGAGACAATTGTCCCAGCAGATGCAGCCGAGGACAAGGGCACGGTCAATTGCTCTCTTACAGGCTTTCTTGGCCCACCCGCCGTTCAAGAAGGATGGCGTCTTGGAGCAGGTCTTGGGCCTGGAGCGCTTAGCCGAGGAGTATGCCCAGGTGTCGAAGGAGGAGCTGAGTGACAATACAAAGCTGTCAGTTCTTCTCAAGGTGGTCCCCAACAATCTTCGACAGCACCTACAACTGCAGATGGACGAGAGCGCAGACTACTTGTCAGTGCGGGAGAAGGTCTTGGCCTATGAGCGCACTACAACATCGTGGAGCTCACACACGGTGTACAGGGAGCTTGACATCAAGAAGGACGAAAAGGTTGATGAGGCGGTCCCCATGGAGATAGACCGCATCAAGGGCAAGCAGAAGGGAAAAGGGAAAGGAAAATCGAAAAGTTCTGGCAAGGACGTCAAGGGCAAAGGCAAGTTCAAAGATGGTGGAAAGTCAAAGAGCAAGGACAAGGGCAAGTCTAAGGACTATGGAAAACAGGGAGATGCAGGAAGAGGAAAGGGCAAAGGTCTGCCCAACGACATGTGCAAGCTGTGTGGCAACAGGGGGCATTGGTCTCGAGAGTGCCCAGTTCGAACTTTGAGGCAAGTTGCACAGGACTCAGTTTCGACAGTGAATACGCAGTCGTTGGTGAGTGGTGCAACTGGAAATGGAGGTGCAGTTCAAGGCTCACCAACTATGTCAACAGCTGTCAGGAGGGTGACATACCTCAACTTGGACGAGGATGAGATCCCGGGGGAGCCCTATGTTAGGATGGTCGATGGAGGTGTCTATGACATGACATACAGTGACAGCGATGATGACTGGTATGTCTGCAACACCGAGGAGGACCAGCATGGGGCCTATTTCGAGAACTTCAAGGACATCCCTGTGGAGACCTATGGCAAGGAATTGGATTTTGGTTTGAGGCCACCACCATTTGATGGAGAAGTTTGCCAAGGACGTCATGCAGATCAGGCAGTGATTCGAGGAGTCACAACTGGTGATGCAGTCAGCATCATCTTGGACAGTGGTGCAGATGTTTCAGTGTTGCCGCTGTCTTATAAGGACTATGGAAAATCCCTTTCAAAGACAAGCGTTCTTCGAGATGCTCAAGGCAACCGCATGCCAGGTGGAGCCCTACGGCAAAGCTGTGGTGACTATGGAAGATGATCAAGGGAGCATTGTGGAGCTCAGGGAAACGTTTGCATTGTCGAATGTTTCAGACCCACTTTTGGCTCTTGGAAAGATGTTGAAACGTGGTTGGAAGGTAGAAGGCAGTGGAGGCGAAGTGAAATTCATCCATGGAGACTTCTACAAGACCGTTGGTTTCAAAAGCAACAGCTTGGCGCTTGAGGCCGAGATCAGAATGGTGGAGATTGTGGAGAAGCCGACAAAGGTGTCAGCTGGGCCTGTGGTTCGACAGGTCATCATGAGTTTTGAAGGGATGATGAATAGCCTTCTTACAGTTCCTGGATGGCACTTGTCAATGGATAGGAAGGTACCCTTCTTGGTCGTGCTCAACAGCAACCACTTCAAGGACTCCTTCCCGCAGTTCAACAGGAATGACTTCCAGTACCGCTCAACAATCGTGCTGAAAGGCAGAGTTTGGGAGGTCGTGGAAGTAGCAGAGACAAGCAACAGTGAGGGTGTGATTCCTGAATGCGGGGATGAGTTCACTACGGTGGTCACTTTCTTCCATCGAGAAGCTCATGATGTGAACGCTGTTGGAACAATTCACACAGGTTCAGATGATCCTTTTCTTCAACCAGCACTACGCCCAGATGAGCCCAAAGGAGAGCAAGGAAAAGAAGCACAAGGTTTTGGCTGGCATGGCAAGACATTGGAAGATGGTGTGTACGAGGTCGATGATGATGAGGACACGGGTCCACAGCCAGAAACAGGAGAAGGAGACCCAGCACATCGAGAAGTACCTCAACGTCTTGCAGAAGAAGAACCAGAGGAGATCGACATCGATGGAGAGAAGTTCAACAAAGGAATGGCGCTTTCAAAGCTGAGAACAGGCCTTCGAATGTGTGGCCTACCCAAAGGGAGAAGCAAGGCTGACGCATGGAAGAGGCTCGTGGAGTATCACCAGCATTTTGCTGACAATTTGGCCGTGGAACTTGCACAGCGGGAGTTTGAGAGGAAGAAGATGGCTGATGGTGGAAGTGATGCACGTGGTCAGATGATCCCTCGACTGCCAACAAAGGCAGAGAGGCAGGTGCATGAACTGACCCATTGGCCCTTTGCTGATTGGTGTGAAAGCTGTGTTGCAGCCCGAGCCAATGGTGAGAATGGTCGTGAACGGCGAGATCTTGGCTGATGGAGACTTGGACATGGAGTTCCCCGACAAGCCACCTGACCTTGGACCAGATGAGTTGGCTCAGGTGGAAGCAGAAGCAGCCCAAACAGAAATCTTGCGGCTGATCGACATGGGTGTTTTGAGGAGGCCCAACTTGGAAGAGGATATCAACCAGATCCCAACGTTGACAACGAGATTGGTGTGTGATTGGAGGTTCAGACAGAATGCATGGGTGAGACGTGCGCGTTTGGTGGCACGTGACTTCAATTGGTTGGAATTGAACAGGAGTGACACTTTTGCACCGACTGGGACGCAATCCACAATGCGGCTGATCCCAGCATTGAGTCAGCTTCAACAATGGAGCATGAGGGTGGCAGATGTGAAGGACGCATACTTGATGTGCGACCAACCCAAGTCCGTCAAGGTGGTGCTTAGCATGGAGTTGGCAAAGCAACTTGGAGTAGATCGTGAATGGGTTCTTGGAAAGGTTTTGCCTGGCCAACGAGAAGGAGCTGCAGTTTGGTTCAACGACTTGAAGTCCAAGCTCAAAGCTGCAGATCTTCTCCAATGTCCTGAAGCACCAACAATTTGGACCAATTCTTCCAGAACTTTGTCTCTCATGGTGCACGTTGATGACATCGTGATGGGAGGCATCGAGAGTGAGTTGGACAGAGTGGAAACGTTCCTGAAGGAGCACTACAAGCTGTCGGTGGAGAGTGGTGACACTTTGAGTTTCCTCAAGAGGAGCATCGAGATCGTGGATGGAACAACAAGAATCAGAGTGAACCCGAAGTACATCGATGGATTGGTCTCTTTGCTTGGAGGAGTTCGAAGGCGCCGTACACCAGGTGACTTGATCATTGACAACAACTTGCTGGAGACAGAGGAGGAAGTGAAATTGTTCCGATCGTGTGTTGGAACACTTCTTTACGTTTCTGGAGATAGACCTGATGTGCAATACTTGATCAAGGAGCTGGCGGCAAAGCTTCAAACACCAACGAAGGGAGCGATGGCAACACTCTACAACCTTGTCGGCTACATGCATGCAACCAGAGATTTCCATCTGTGCATGAAGGGCACAGATCCATCTACAAGTTTCAGAAGCCGTGCAATTGGTTTGGCTACGGGCCCAGAGTATGTGGACGGCAAGGAAGTATGGCTTTTGGAAGTAGCAACTGACTCTGACTGGAATGGACAGAAGGAGACAAGGTCATCTAGAAATTGTGGCATGGTTTTCCTCGGTGGCATTTGGCTGTTTGGTTACTCGCGCACCCAGAAGCACATCACGCTGAACAGCACAGAAGCTGAATATGTTGCTTTGGTTGGAGGAGCGTCAGAGGGGCTTTTCTTGAAGGCCGTGGTGCAACATTTGGTTTGTGGCGTGGTGGAACTCAAAGTTTTGGGTGACAACACTTCAGCAATTGCCATCGGAATGCGCGAGGGTGTTTCAAGACTGAAGCATCTTGATGGACGTTTGCTATGGATGCAACAACGTCAACAGCTGGGAGACCTACAACTTCGAAGGATAGATACTTTGACAAACCCGGCAGACATGGGAACGAAGGTTCTTGGAGGTCGACGGGTACGACTTCTACTACATCTACTTGGTTTTCAGAGTGATGATGGTGACCTGGGACATGCAGAGTTTGAGCAGGAGAGGCCGAAGAAGGAGAGCAGAGAACAGCTGCAGGCGATCAGAAAGATTGTGCAAGCTGAAGTTCCAGAAGGTCAACAAGGTCAGAGCAGCACACTTCTCAACAAGGTGGCAAAGCGTTGCTGGGGCTATCGGTTGGCACTTTACTTTTCGGTGGAGGAGAAGCCTTGAGCCTGCCCTACAACATGGAGAGCAATGCACAGTGCTTTGTTGCGGTGGAGACGACCGAGGTCACTACCCCGTGGACTATTTTCTTCTTGGTGTCCATCATCGTGGTTTTGGTGATCGCGGTCATGACGTTGCTGAAGATTATGTACGTGATGCACCTTCGGATCGAAGCAACAAGAGAAGCAATGGATTGGGTCAGAACGCAGTGGAGACAATCGAGAGACAGGAGAATGATCAGAGAAGAGGAGCAGCAACGCCTTGGAGTTTGGTTGAACGATACCGATGAAGAGTCTGTAGGTGAGAATGAGGAGTTCCAAGAGGAAGAACAACCTCCAGGAGAAGATCAACCAATGGCAAATGGAGTTGCACATATCCGCAGAATGACCCTGGAGGAGTTCAACAATGGCATGGAGGAAGATGGAGAATCTGAGATGGAAGAGATCGAAGTTGAAGTCGATCCTGGAGCTGAAGCTGGTGGTGATCGTGCAGTACCACCAGGTGAAGGAGCTTATGATTTCGACTTCGACGTGGATAACATTTCAATTCATGGAGAAGGACCTTCAGGTGAGTGCAAAATGGAGCAAGAACAAGAAGAGGAAGAGAGCGACGATGGCATGGAGACGAACTATGGCTCAGTTGGCATCGTGGACGAGGACTTCAGTGTTTTTGAGAACCTCGAGCAGACTGAGTATGACGACTACAGGTTCATCTTGCTCGGTGAAAGCCGAGGAGTGGAGCACTACATCGTGCGCAAGCTGTCCTGCCTCAGGAGTTTACCGGTCACCAGGGAGATTTGGATCGCGATTCAGGAGCTCTTTGCAATGCACAAAACAGTGCAACTTGGAGGAGTTGAAGAACGCAAGAGGGTGATCCGCTTCCTACTTGCGAGAAAGAGATACCAATTTTGGTATGAAGCTGGTCGCATTCAACCTGGTGAATCCTTGGAGGAGTCGGACATGCCGGAGGAATGGTTGGCAGCCCATTATGGATGGGGAGAACCAGTTGGAAGGCAACCATATGACAGTGATGATGAAGGTTCATGGAGCCCTAGTGCAACAGGAAGCGTGGCCATCATCGAGGACGTAGAGACTGGAGCTTCGAGCAGCGCACATGCACCAGCGCTGCCACCACCACCTGTCGTCACAGAAGAACCTGGATCATCAACTGACATTCCAGGTGTGCCGTCAGTTCACGCTGTGACTGCAGAGACAAGGGCCAAATCGAAAGGAAAATGCGGTGGAAAAGGCACAACAGTGCTTTGGTCAAAGGACCCACCGGTAGAAGACGATGCAGACGGGCATGTGTGAGAGTTTGTTCAAGGTCTAGGCAAAATAGCCTGGATACTTTTCACAAAAGGCAGGGTGACAAACATAACCCGTTGCCGCATTGCCCATACATACAGCAATTCACTCATTTGACTATTCATGCAGGCTTTTGATTGCCCAAGCAAAACAAGGGCGCGTGCCGCGCTTTGCTACCAAACAAATAGATTGACTTGTTGAAAAATGTTGTTTATTGGCAGATGATCACGGTCATTCGTTGAAAGGCCGTTGAATCTGGAACACATGCGTAAAAAGTGATCATAGACTCCTAGACATGAAGGGTTTCTGGGTCCTGTGTTGTCGTTTGTTTTTTTGCCAGTAATCTCGAACCACTTTTTGCAGAATTGACCTTCAAGGTGCTTGCACCGGAAATTTGCTGGTTAAATGATGGATTGTTGATGTGTAGTAGCAGTTGTGTAAAATCAGTTGTAGAAACCTGTAAAGTCACCCAATGTTATTGGGTCGGTCTCCATTTGAATGTTCTCTTGTTCTGTTTGTTGATCGCCATTTAGCTCAAATTGGAGTTGACTGAGTCGTGTCAACATGGCATCAACGAGCAGCCGGCTTTGGAAACTGCCGTGTTCTCAGCAACGCATCTGTTTCCGCCCCAAACTGGGATGCGTTCCGAGTCCCCTGCGTCTGGATCCAGGCGATGTCCCTCTTTGCGCTGCCCCATTCGCAGAAGCGCCAGAGGACTGTACAATCCGATGGGTTACTGTATTCCCCCTAAAAATTACACACGGCAATGGTAAGGGCCTTTTTTTACATGGAAACATTATAATGGGAAAACATGAGGCGCCGGATATGATTGCCGGAGTGTAACCAATACGAAGGCTTGAACGTCCAGAGTCCAAACGGTGTCGGTATCTTGAGACCAATATCCATCCGCAAGGATGAGTAGCTCATGTGGCTATGTTTGAAAATGGGATATACGGTATATTATACGGTATACCTCCAAAACTCCAAACTTGTACTTTCTGAGGAAACATGATAAACCATTGGAATTGGTGGTACCCTATTTTTAGACAAACCTATTTGTGCAATATCTGTGTGTTTTGCGTCGCAGAACTTCTGGACCGGACGAGGATACCCGACACAGCAACCGCAGATGCCCCAGTCTTCTGAGGCCCGGGGCGCTGCTTTGAATGGTTTGGTAGTCCCAAGGATAGCGGACAAGCAATGCAGCAACCCCCCAAAAAATAGAAAAACAAAAAAATGTAAAAAGTAAAATCCAAATAAGATGATGGCACTTTTGTTCCCCACCTGCCAGGTGAGGGTTGTTAGATTTTATGTCAGTTGCCTCCTCGTCCTCCTCCTCCTCCTCCTTCTCCTCGTCCTCCTCCTCGCCTCCTCCTCCTCGTCCTCCTCGTCGTCCTCGTCGTCCTCGTCCTCCTGCTCAACTGCGACTCGCGATCCACAGTGTTCGCTGTCGGACCTCAACCACGACCATCCACGCCCAGTGTTCCCTGCCGGACCTCAACCGCGACCATCCACGCCCAGTGTTCCCTGCCGGACCTCAACCACGACCATCCGCGCCCAGTGTTCCCTGCCGGACCTCAACCACGACCATCCGCGCCCAGTGTTCCCTGCCGGACCTCAACCACGACCATCCGCGCCCAGTGTTCCCTGCCGGACCTCCACCGCGACCATCCGCGCCCAGTGTTCCCTGCCGGACCTCATGTAGGAAGATATGGGACAAAGAATGTGCAGAAGAAAGTTAGAAAGAATGTCAGAAAGAATGTCAGAAAATATGCCAGAAGATATGCCAGATAGAATGCCAAATAGAATGCCAGATAGAATGCCAGATAGAATGCCAGAAGAGATGTCAGAATATATGCCAGAAGATATGCCAGATAGAATGCCAGATAATATGCCAGAAGATATGCCAGATAGAATGCCCAGATGCCAGAAGAATGCCATGATAGAATGCCATGCCAGAAGATATGCCAGAAGATATGCCAGAAGATATGTCAGAATATATGCCAGAAGATATGCCAGATAGAATGCCAGAAGATATGCCAGAATATATGCCAGAAGATATGCCAGATAGAATGCCAGATTGAATGCCAGAAGATATGTCAGATAGAGTGCCAGAAGATATGCCAGATAGAATGCCAGAAGATTTGCCAGATAGAATGCCAGAAGATATGCCAGAAGATATGCCAGATCATATGCCAGATCATATTACAGAAGATATGCCAGATAGAATGCCAAATAGAATGTCAGAAGATATGTCAGATAGAATGCCAGAAGATTTGCCAGTAAGAAAATGTATAAATGTCATGGTGGGGATCACACGAAGTAAAGTAATTTTTCTGGGGGGTTCCTCTACTATATTGAGGAAAACCAGAGACATGCAGGATGACCATCAGATTCCATAAAACGGGTATGGGTCAAAATTCAAGAATATTGAAGACCTGGGGGACCACAGACTCAAGTCTATTTTAGTGTTATTAACCATCCAATTATTGTACCCAGTGACTTGACCCATACAACATGGGATGATAATCCCCAAGTGACTGGCATGATCTGTCAGGTTTCGAAAGAGTCTTCTCCTCAAGTGGAAGCTGACAAGGTTGATCTGCGGCGGGGGAGAAACCATTTTCCTGGATGGTGATTCTGCGGCTGCGGTGACTGGTGGCCCTTTTGCAGGATTCAGAAGAGGAGCGCATTTGCCGCTTTTGCTTTGAAGGAGAGGAGGCGAGCAGATCAGGATGGACATCTGTGGGATTGAGACAAATTGCGATCCTCTGCACAAGGGGCCCCTGGCAGATCCTGGCAGTATGGGTGAGCGTTTAAGGCCTTGGGTCATTATTTATACTATACCAATGTAAAACACGCTCATCTTTGGGTACTCAACGACTTGATCAAACCGGTAAGGGTCTGGGTCAAAGCCTGAACATGACGAACAGCTCATGGATAGCCACACTCTGATTTACCACTGACGTGGAGTATCATGGAGGCTCAGTTTCAATATGTTTCATCAATTGGTGCTGTTAAACAATCCATTTTTTCCACCATTTCCCAAATTTCCCACCAGAATTTGGATGGTGAACTACTTGAAATGGCCTCATGATGGCCTCATGTTAGGTGGATGAGCTGATCTCACCATGCGGATGTGCTGGCGGCCAGAAGTATGTTCACCTCACTTGCAGGGGCATCACAGCTACCGGAGGTCACCCAAGGTTACTATGGGAACATTAGGGATATAACTGATATAACTGGCATATTTTAATGGATATGTTTGGGCAAAAGAGCAAACTTAGGATGTTTTTTTGGGCAAATTTGCTGCAAACTAGGATTTTTCGTCCCTTTCTTTCAGAGTTCCCTGTGACAATTTCCTCAAACCGGCGAAACAAAGAGGGCCATTTATGAAGTACCGCTAGTCACGCTAGTCTGTGCACAAAATTGACATGGCCATGGTGGTATGGAAAGTAGACCACCCTTGGATCATTTAGGTATGGCCATGTGGCTCTATCTTATGGCACACCCCATTTTAAGGATTGCCTTCGGTTTTTGACCTTCATTATTGATCATTATTGATGGTGGCTATTGCCGTTGATCTCGCTTTGTTTCGCATTTTTCCCCATTGATCATTGGACATCCATGTCCGTTATGTGGGCTGAAAACTATTGGCTCCTATTTTGAAATGTTTTCAGATCCTGTAAAAAAAAAACAACGTCCATTGCTACCCCATTCTGAGTCGCCGTATTCAAATTAAATGGTAGCTCCATTCGTTGACCATCAGTAGGTGCCAGATTAAATATCATAGAATTTACCATTTAAGTTGACAATCCAATGGTTCTGACCCCCATTTGTTGATAATTACCCATTATTAATCATTCTTACTGCAACCATGAATTTCTCATGATAACCATTCTTTTTCCCAGAGGTTCACCCTTTTTCTTTTTACCACCAACGTCAACGTCGCGCAGCGCTGCTTATCGCTGCAAGGTCTTCGAATGTGGCAACGGGCCGTACTGGTCTCGCAGCCCACGCATCCAGATCTCTACGATCACGACACACGCCAGAGGCTGGGCCCCGAGGTCACAGGTCTGGGGGGATGGTATGGGGATGGTATGGGGATGGTTCCAATGGTTCGGGCTTGTCTTTTCTTGGAAGTTGATGAAACTTGGGAACATGGAAAAACATTCGATAAAACAGCAAAGGGTTGTTAAATTTGCATTCATTTCTGTGATGCCAAGAATCGGGTCGCATTTTCGCATCCAGGATTTGCAACGTGTGCAAGAATGAGTTTACGTGTCATCCGCCGACGAGTCTGGGGGCTTATGGGTTGCATCTGTATGGATCATCGGGGATTTCACCAATTTCACCCACAAAAACAGGGATTGGTTCGAAGCTTGAAATGGGTATGGGTGAAAATTCGACAAAGATCAGCTTCAATTCACCCAAAACCTGGTCCTTTGCGGGTCCTGGGGCTCCGAAGTCTTGACGCCACTATTTGGGGACCTTGAGCATCGCACGCAGAAAATTCATTGTGAAGCAGTGCGAAGTGCTGGTGAAATCGAACAAAGCCTTGTAGCTCTTATCGCCGGTGATACCCTCCGCTGTCCTCATGGCCGGAACTTTGCCCATTCACTTCCATGATTTTCCCAACATTTTCCCAAAATTTTCCCAATTTTCATGAAAAATGGAGGGAGATTTCCCAGCCACCCATGACTTGCGGGGAAGCTGAGCCCAGGAGCCGAGCTCTTGGCATCTTTCACTGGACCCGAACTTGCAGCTCTGATCGAGGTGAGGTCAATCCCAGGGTCCCACGTGGTATCGATGGCTGTATCAACCTATCGGACCTATCTTAAGTTATTATATATGATTATAATTGATTATACACATTATACACATCAAATCCACGTTTCTCTTCTGGTCATATCATGTTATATCCCCATGTGAACCATGAAAAAACATGAAGTGGCTTGGCAGGAACGCTGCTTCATTGGCTCTGCTGAGAACTTCAGTCGTGAACTGGAACGACAGGCAGCACATTCAGCGCTTTTTATTTCGCTCTTGGCATCACCTGTGGATTTCAAGCATCACTGAATCACCTCACGGCTCGTGTGCCCAGGTGGCCAGCTTTCCCGGCATCATGCGGGAAGGAATTGTTTGCTTGAACTGGATCAGGCACTAAGAGGGCTGACCAGAATTTCAGGAGAAAACATCGATGAATGATTTTATGGGGTGAATTATGCTGATTTGATGAAGTTTCTATTACGGAAAGCCAACAGGGTTTCAAAGCATGAGGATCAACAAATGAGTGACATGTCTGAAAATGGGTTGGATTAGTTGGAAACATTCCAGCCATTGTGGCCATCGATGGGGAACATTTTATGGTTTAAATCTATGACATGGAATGCGGGTACAGGATTTTCAGACACCTTTTTGATCCACAAGACAATCCTTAAATGGAAGACCCATACCACTGAGACCAGGGTGTCCACTTTTTTTGTTGCAGTGCTAGAGCATCTCAAGTTTCTGGGTGAAATTGTGCATTCACAGTGGTAAGCCAGAGCTCACCAGGTCAACCCAACAGCAACGAAACTCCTTCCTTTTTCTACCTTTCGCTTTGAATCTGGGGTCTCGACCAGAAAAGGCAGCTGACAATCGCAGCCAATGCAATATGGAAAATTCAAATGCAAAATCAAAATGTTGAATGTGGATTCCAAAATGTGCACTTCTCGATTTGTGCGTGAACTCTCTTGCATGCAGGCAGTGCAGGGTCTGTCTCTCTTGCACTCCCCCTCAGTATGGTCGTCAGTCACATACTGACAAGGTAAAAAGGAAAATTTTCCGCTCAAGCTGCCCATTCATCGATTCGTTCTTGACATCTCACGCACATGCTATACTGAACTGCTTCTCCTTTGTGAGGGCATAGAGAGTCAGTATGAAATCTTCCAGGATATCCAGTGATCAAAATTGGAAATCCAGGTGGCGGAAGGCCTCTTGGCCTAGTGACTTCACGGCATGTCGGACACCACCTTGACGGGCGTGCAGGTCCAACTCGAGGATTGGTGAGATATGGGCACTGATGCGACAGGTGATAGACCTTTCCATATTGAGTTCTGAGCACACCAAAACCTGGACCTGGCAGATCCTCTCGATCTTCTGGTGGATTGAACCTCAGACGCTCTCGGATTTCACTGACTTCTCTTTCAATGTTCTGCAGCTCATTCATAACCGCTTGACCCATTCCATCTTGTGAGTCGGTGTCTCCAGACATCTCTGAGCTGGAGCTTTCTTCTTCTTCTCTTTCAGGGAGGAATTGGGGGCGCACCGCATCAGCGGGCCCAGCAGGCGTTCGAGATGATCCTTCTTCTGGCTCACCATCCCGCACCTGAGAACGGAGGCGGACTGAGCTTTCGCTCCTTCCCTGCTCACGTTCTGGCTGGAGGCGGACTGGGTTTTCACCCCTTCCCTGCTCACAGCCACTTCTCCCTTTCTCTCCAATTTTCTTCTCTTCCTTTCCAGATGTCTTTCCTCCTCGGGCTTCAGGGCGACTTCGGACAGGCGCAGTCAGAGCATTTCTCTGTCTCATCCATCTTACTCCGACCTTCCAAAGCCATTGGAAGAAAAAAGTCAGCAGCACTGTTCCAAGAGCAAAAACTGCCAACATCATCCAGAGTTCCACAAATCTTTCCCCTTCCTCTTCTTCTTCTGACTCTCCCTTCGCCATGTTCAAGAGGGCAATCGCTGTGATCAACCTCAACAAATCCTCACTGGTCTTCGCCGACTTCATTTTTTCTCCTTTGGATTCTTTCTTTTTCTCTTTCTCTTCATCTTCCACCTTCTGTGTTGGTGGGCTGCACATCATCAAGAGCCCCTTGAGGTGGTCCAATCTCGCCAAGGACATTGGTTTCGTGCCGATGTCTGCAGTCATATCTTCGCCAGGCAAGTGTTGAATGGCCCAAAGGCCTGACAAAACTGATTGGCGGGCAAAGGACGCCCTGGTCCTCAAATGCCTGGTACGCCAACTGCCTCCATCAGTTGAGACAATGGCCAGAGCAGACTGTGAATCAGTGAAAGCTCCTCTCTGGACTGGTCCTACCAACTCATCCACCACCGCAGCAACCGACTCGCCTGCACCCATAGCTTCAACCAACTCAGCCAACTCCGCTTCAGCGGTAGAGAGCGTCACCAGGTGTTGTCTCCCAGCACGCCAGAAGATGGGTGATCTGTTGAGAGTGATGACGAAGGATCCAATTGATTCTTCATCTCCAGGGGCATAGCTGGCGTCAGAGAACACCTGAATTTTGATTGGTTCTTGGCCATCATCTTGGTAGGCCAATCCTTCAGCACAAGTCCTCAGCAGATATCCTCGAACTTGGTCTGCTGCTTCTAGCACTGACATTGTGGCCTTGGTGACATTCGATCCCAAGCGGGACAGACTGTACATCAAATCTGGTCTCGTTCTCGTCAGAACCCAAAGTAGTTCTCCAACTGCTTTCTGACATTTTCGCACCGCTTCAAGGGTTGGAGTCTGAGGGTCTGGGCTCATTGAGGCTTGATCCTTTGTGATGGGAATTCTTTTGGAAGAGACTTCTGTCTCTTGACGTTTGACCATGTCTTTGATGTACGACTCTTGAGTCACATGCCATATGCAACGACCATCGATGCCTGTGGAAGTGGAGATTTCCATCCCCAGAAATCTGATGGGGACCTCCCCCACGGTCTCTGGACAGGACGTGGTCCAGGTCTCCTGGAACTTTCGCGCCACAGCTTCGGCAATCTTTGGCGGCGCTGCGATCAAAATGTCATCAACGTACGTCATCACCAGGCCGTACTTGATGTTCATCTCTCGATTTTCATCTTCGCTCCCAAGCTTCTCCAATCTCCAAAGATTCGGCTCTGAGTCAAGCTGTCTCAGCTGTAGCTTGATTGTTTCTCCTCTTTCTTCCACTTCTATCTCAAAACTTCTCATCTTTCCATCTCTGCACACTCCCCACAACCTTGGTGACCTTCTCAGTCCATACACCGCTTTTTTGGGACGATAGAGAGTGCCAACAGGAAGACACCCCTTCTTCACAAAGACTGTGGGTGGAGCAACCAGGATGTAGTTGGGCTGGTCTTCTTGATTGACATCCGCATTGAGGAAGGCAGTGCGGATATCGAGGGATATTCCAAGCCATCCAAAACGGGATGCCAGCCAGAGCAAAATTCGCAGAGCTGTGGCATCTGCGCCAGAGCTGTAGGTCTGTTCATCCTCTCTCTTCTCTTCATAATTCCCGCAGATAACCCATCGCACCTTGTGTTTGGCTCCCCCGGGGGCAGGCTTCTTTGAGTACACCACCTTGGATGGTATGCACTCCAGCTTCACTCCCTTTTTGAGGAGCTCTTTCTCCACCTCCTTCACCTGTTCTGCCGTGAGCTCTTCTAACGCTTCTTTCTCCTCAAGCATTGAACTTATCTCACTTTTCGCAGCCTCTTCCCATTCCTTCCAGTTGTTCCACACCTCTTTTGGCGAGATGATCTTGGTCTGCAAGATTTCCTCTGACTCATCCATGCTTTCCACAATCTTTCTCAAAGCTCCTATGACTGCCATCTCATCTCTGATTGTTTCTTCATCATCCTCAACCATCGCTCGCATCTCCTCTTCAATGATCCTCCGGATCTTTGCCTTGAGTTTGCACCTCTCTGCCTCTTCGCTCTCTTGTGACGTCATGCTGGCGTCCAAGCTCCTCACTGATGTCTTTTCTCTCAACCTCCTTCTTGACGAAAGATCGTCCAAGATCTGAGTCTCCAAGCCTACCCAGACCCCATGCATGACCGGCTCTGACGTCTTTTTCATCAAAACTTTTGAGACTCTAGGTGCTTCTCCATCCTTCCACACCCAATGCCCATGTTCCTCCACTGATGGACTCAGATATCTAAAGGTGTCCACAGTAGGGTCAAAGCTCCCCCGCTTCCAAGTTCTCTTCCTCACTCTTACCTCCTCAAAAAAGGGTGGAAAAGATGGAACTTGATCAAGCCGGACGCACCTGTTGATCTCGTTGATGTATCTCAGAGCCCATGGCCACCACTCTGATTTGACTCTCGCATGGTGGAGGACTCTTCTGATCTGTGTCTTTGTTGACTTAACAGTCACTTCTGCCCGTCCATTTCCTCGAGGATCATCACCTGCCGTTCGGCTCAAAATCAAGCCTCTCGATGATGCCCATTTTCGAAAAGAGCCAGAGAACTCATGGCCTCGATCAGAGTGGATTTTGGCTACAGTGAAGCCATCAACTTTCAGCTTGATCAGCATCTCCATCGCAGTTGCTGACACCTCTCGAGCAGTCTTGGTGATCATAGGAAGGGCAAGTCGAAAAATTCTCACCTCTGTTTTCTCCTCCAAATCGCCTTGTGCCTCCTCTTGTGCTTCTTCACATTGATCTTCCACCTCCAAATCTTCACCTTCTTTTTCCTCCTCTTGAACCTCAGGCTCCTCATCTTCGATCAATGGCTCTTCACCTTCCAACTCCTCCTCTGGGGGCTGGCGCATCTTTTCTGTCCCTTTCGGAACGCGCCACACCAGAGCTCCAGCTAGAAACCATCTAGCTTGCCCACCACCCATGTCATACGCCGGCTTGAAGGGACCAGCGACATCCAAAGAGAGAGTGCCAGTTTGAAGATGCTTTGCACGCCGATGAGGTTCTTGTTGTTGCAATGTCTCTTGGCATACTTTGCAATCTTTTCGATAAGGCACATGACCAAACAGGATGTGATCATCCCATGACATCGGAGCCAACCTGGCCTTTGACTTCAAAGTTTGCTCCTTGATCGCTGATGCGAGCATTCTCATCAAACCAGGTGGCCAACGAGCAAGGTCTTTTGATGACCGTACTCCCCCACTTTGGGATCTGCCTTTGATTTGGAAATCTTCAGGGGCCAAGTCCAAAGAGGTTCCCAGAGTTGTAGGCTTTGTTGCTTCGCCTCCTAGGCTCTTCTGAGTGACATGTGTTTCCTTCAGAGAAAATTCCTTTTTGATCTCCTGCCATTCCCACTGATCCCAAAACGATACGACCTCAGGCATGTAGTGCTTTGGAGAGGAAGGTTGTTCCAACACAAAGGCCAAAGGGTGATCATGCCCTCGTGCTCGCCGGGAGTAAGAGGCAACCATAAACAAAAAGATTTGACGCCAAAGGAGAATGTCAT